ATATTACTACTACATTCAGCGGAATTAGAAGCGTTCACGTCCCAATTGAATTTTTTCGCTATTGTTATTGTGCATGAATCATAAATTTGAGATAGAACGCGCAAAAGATATATTGGAATGTATTTTGAATGAATGACGTTTATGAAAAAGTTGGGGCACATAAACGAGTATTTAAATTTGAATAGTTTGTGAGCCATGGCAAGTTCAACGGCAATCCAGAAAAATAAGTTAAATGTCCAACAAATTGCGAGCCTTCGTGCAGCGCCAGGGAAAATATACCAATGATCTATTGGGTCATATCAAGGAAAAGAGACGCAATTTTGATGCATCATTGTGGTTAAAATACTAATTAAGTTTCTTCGATCAATAATGATTATGATCGATAATGATTATGTGACGATGAATGCTATTGATACAGTCAGTCGCTAATATTCTCTTCGATATTCTGTTAATATTCTCAACAATACTTTGTCACTATTCTGTCAATATTTCGCTCATATTCTCACCAATATTCTGACAGTATTCAGCACTCACCAATATTCTACCAGTATTCAGCACTCACCAATATTCTGCCGGTGGTGGTCTGTCCTGAGATGAGTTCTCATTCAGTCGCCAATATTCTCTTCAATATTCTGTAGATATTCTCAACAATACTTTTCATATTCTGTCAATATTCCGCCCATATTCTCACCAATATTCTGACAGTATTCTTAGCAATATTTTGTCACTTCTCAGTCAATATTCTGCCAATGTTCTGACACTATTCAGCCAATGTTCTGCCCACATTATCACCAATATTCCGCCAGTATTCATCACTCACCAATATTCAGCACACACCTATATTCCGACAGTATTCAGCACACACCTATATTCCGCCAGTATTCATCACTCACCAATATTCAGCACACACCTATATTCCGACAGTATTCAGCACACAACTATATTCTGCCAGTATTAATCACTCACCAATATTCTGCCGGTGGTGGTCTGTCCTGAGATGAGTTCACCCGCCCAGTCCTTTGCTTCAGTTACGAAGTTTCCTTCTGTGAGGTTTATAGTCTTGGCGCTGGAGGGCGGCATGCCAGCCTGCTGCTGCTGCGCTGCCATCTTCTCCTTCTGTTGCTGCACTTCAAGATCCGTAGCCTCCTTACGCCGACAACAGAGGAAAGCACCCAACCTCCAGAACAAGACGATGAAAATTCCCGCCACGAAGGTAAAGATGCTAGACAACAGGAAACACCAATACTTTCGGTGCTTGAGACATGCATCTTGGATCGCTGATTCGTCGAGTTCTTCCGACATGATGATGAGTGTTGATGACCTGTTGGTGCTGCTGAGACCATGACCGTGCCCTAGTACTCTAGTACTTTCTGGTACTAGTAGTACTTCCTTGGGCGGTAGTTTGACTAGTGGTAGTTGAGTGACAGTGAAGGGGAGACCAATAAAGTCGAATAGAAAAAATGATTTGAGTCTCTAGTCTAGATTAGAAGGGAAGCATGACTGTGGATCTTCAAGGCCCAAGTTTCATGCAGGACAAATAATTGTCGGTATAAAAAATGGATGAGGAATGTGAGTTTGCACCTACAGCTCACTGAGAGAAAAATAAAACTCTGAGCTCGAGAAGTACAGCGAAGGAGGGAAAGAACGGTGAATCTTGAGTAATATAAATGAAAAAATGTGTTTAAGAGAATTTGTTGAAGATTTTCATGCGTACTAGTGATTCATTTGGCAGCAGTTCTTCCATTGTTCCCTTGCACTGACATCACTATCGATTCAACAGACGCGATGACATTAAATGCGTGGTTTAATGTTGATATGCGACCACTTCACAGCGAAGGAGTAATTACGCTAAATGAAAGACATTAGCACCGTACGAAGAGGTCATAATGACTGCTTAGGAGTTCTCTGCATGTCTCAGGATAATCCAACTTTGGCTTCCGTGCAAACACTAGAAAAATCACCTAATAGATTGCAGCAACAGGTTAACTTAATAATATTCTATCTAGCGATCATTAAACTAAGTTTATACACCATTTGCTACTTATGAAAACGTTGTTTGAAGCAACACTGAGCATGTCCTGCACTACAGTATATTGTGAAGAAGGGCTAGAAATAAGTACAGAGTACACTGCAGTAACACTGCTGCTTCGACACTGGCGCTTCGTCTCTACCTTACCAAGAATACTTGCGAGTCTCAATCAATACAAAGCAAGCGGCCAATGAACTCGCGACAAAACAGTGACGTATCCATGACGTCACGTCTTTCTGCCAATCACTGCTCTATTCGTTCACTTGACATTTAGGTCGACCAATCAGAGATCCCATCGTGAAAAGCAGTGAAATTTTAAACCAATCACATCGCCACTTAATAATGATGTAATAATGACGTCGATATTTTATTCAATTATTTCTATGTAATTTCACAGGTCCAAAACTCAGAAGGATGAGGTCAATAAAACGTTGGTTTGAACCACCTAAGCTACAGGTAATAATTCAAAATCACAATAAATTCCAGTTGAAAAACGCGACTGTTATCTACCAATGATAATTAAAATTCTTTATACCTACTTATTTGATAAAAAACATACTTTTTAGCATTAAAATATCTTCTGTTGCCATGAAAAATAAAAAAAATAACGAATTCTACCCTAATTTATGACACAAAATTCTCATAAAAATATATATTTCCGAATTCAAAACTAAAGTCATGTGTGGAGAGGAAGACAAAAATAATGCCAATGTGAGACTATATTCAGAGGCAATGCCAATCAGCTTAGATCTGCCTGATAAAAAAAATAATCAATTAGTAATATAAAATGCCAATTTGTTTATTTAATGGACAAGAACAATCAGAGCTTTTGAGTGCAGGGGATAGAAAATTCTCGTCTGGATTTGGAAAAAGTGATGTCACTTGTCCAAAAAAATATGCAACATTTTTCTCTACTTCTTTGGAAGAAATGGAGTATATGCATATATATGCCATTTAAAAGAAAGAACAACTCTTATAAACTCCATCAACTATGTGGCGGTGAGTTACTGAGGTTATTAATCACTAACTCACTATTCTAAACTGTGAAGGCTTTTGTTCCATATAAAATCTTCATGCAAATGTAATCGTAATCTTAATTAATTATTTAAGCCTGCGTTAATTTAACAAATGATCAATTAATTAATCGTTATCAACATAATTTACTACTCAGGTAGTGGTTATGTCGGGTTGAAGGTGAAGAAGAAGTCACGTGATGACCGCTGTACCCAGCAAATTTTATTTAGTTTTAAAAACTATTTTGTTTAATTAAGTCTTCATCGTGTTTCTTCTAGTTCTATTCATGTCTCTACAGGCGCTTGTTCTCCAAGTTGAATTATTCAAGTTAATAACTAATTTTTGAGCATTTCAGTCCTAAATTTTCGCATGAGCCTAAAATAGTATATATTATTTTTTAAATGCCAGATAATTTAATTTAGAAATTCCTTCCTAATTGCACATAGTGGCTATTCCTACTCAATCTTCGATGAGCTTGACTCAGTCATGAAGTTTGCACAAAACTCCACGGTAAGTACAACCAGCATTCAAGTAACTATGTTCCTGCTTCACAATTGATTATTTAAATTTTGATAATGCATGCATTTCAACAAATTTTATTGCACTCAACACGATGGTAACAATATTAATACACATATCTGCAAATTATTTTTTTAATAATTATACTGTATTTAGACAATAATGCATTTGGTTCTTCCACCATTGAGCTATTATTTTTCTCACGCGCTTCTTATAGAATTTGAACGAATCAGGAATTATATGAGCAAATTCTATATTATATGAACAATTAACTTATATGGACAAATTAGGTATACAGTACATGAATAAATTAATTAAAATTATACATTATATGAGGAAACAGCCGGTCATACGTGCATAAGTGCAGAGCTTCGGAAAAGTACGTAGTAGGAAATTCGTTAAGCTACAGTGAGTACATTACAGTGAAATACATTAATCAATTCACCATGCTTTAAATTTACATTACTTCTGAATTAAATATAAAATATTAAATTGTATGAGTAACGTATAATAGCAGCAGTATAGCTACCGCATCTCATCTACAAACGTTGTAACCGTAAGGTTAGGTTTGTGAAAGTTTCTCTCGTGATGTACATTCCGAAGACTGTACCATCCAATGGTTCATAAATTTTCGTTATCATTGTTAATCATTCATTTCACTCCTTAATTTGAATGATGCCTAAAGTATAATTTTCAAATATACTGAGGGAATGTAATGATACGTATGATGGTCAGTTTGTGCAAATGAAGCGTGGAATATCATTATCAGACATTCTTATAGAACATAATGATGATTACGAGAGCCATGACATCATCGACAGTTCAGGTGCCAGCCAGTCTACCTCAGCTACACTCAGATAAGTTGGCGAGACTTTGTCCAAATTGTGAACTTTTTAACCCTAAGTGGGTCATCCTCGCCCAGTTTAAACAGGCAAAAGGGCGTATCAGTGCTACGACAACAGCGGGCTTAGAAAATATGTCTATATTCGGACAACATGAGCCATTCATTTTACTGAATGTGTGTAGACTTATCTTAATAGTGCAAGCACAAGTCCATCAGTGATCCATTGCAATAAATTGCATGTGTAATTACAAGACAATTGTTTACAATTTGTTCATTTGTATTGGAATAAGTATAGTTTATATATGGATTGATCAACTTATAGTGGGTTTATGATTTTTAGTATTTAATACGGTCATATTATATAGCCGGAAATATTGTCTCTTTCTCAATAAACAAATTTACTTAATTTTGCCCGCTTAAAAAAAAATAAATAAGTAACGGGTGACGACAGTGGCTTAAGGGCCCCATTACAAAACCTTCAAAAGGACGCAACTTCTGCTGTGCGAATCTCCCGAAAATCAATAATGGGTTAGCAGTAGCAACAACGAAATGAGTTAGTTAATTCAATTTGAGGATAATGAAAGTCCAATATTCGAGTAACGTTCAACTTACTTCAACGCCAAAACGTGAGATTCAATTTATTAAACACAATAATTAAAATGTTGAGAGTCGAACATTTAAAGACGGAAAAAACGAAGCGCTATCAAGTTTGGCACAAATACAATGATTGGCACAAGAAATCGTGTGATGCTTGAATGAAATTCAATATATCAAATATCACTTCCAGTTTATTGGACTCTATAACGCATTTATTCTTCACCTTATATTGATTAGTTTAGTCAATTTATCTCCAACAGATAGACAAATATAATTCTCGCTCAGCAAGATTGCATCAGTAAAAATGTAACCAAGGGCGATATCCTGACGAGTATTTACATTAGAGATTTACGTAAGAATTATCCGGTAAGCAGAACCAAAATTACGAAATGCGGATACTTGGTAAAAAATTACGGAATACGAATACTCGTAAATAATCTGAGAATGCATTCCATCGACACAGATGGAGCGTGGCAAAATAATTTCTAATACATCGGAATGTGTGAATATAAACAATCGAGTGTGTCGGAGTTGTCTTAAGTTTGAATGTTTGAATACAACGAAGTGGACGCTTCCGATGAATCCTCGGCAATGCCGCGCTGCTGCTGTTCTCGCCTGTGGACACAATCACGATCAGGTTGTAGGTACATCAAGAGAAATTAATTACGTGGGAAGTGAAATGAAATGCAAGATACACAGTTAAAAATCATCAGCACTATCAGCACTATCAGCACCCAGGTATCAGCACTATCAGCACCTAGGCATCAGCACTATCAGCACCCAGGTATCAGCACTACCAGCACCCAGGTATCAGCACTATCAGCACCCAGGCATCAGCACTATCAGCACTATCAGCACCCAGGCATCAGCACTATCAGCACCCAGGCTTCAGCACTATCAGCACCTGTAGTGCAGGTTGTAGTCAAGTCTGTCGAGCAGACTGGCCGTGTGGTGCTGACCAGGCAGCTGCTGCATGCTGCTCAGCACCAGGAATAGTCTGCTGCAGCAGCTGCTCAGCTCGCTGCTCAGCTCCTGCAGCGCAGCACCACTTGCAGCACCACCTGCAGCACCACGTGCAGCACCAACTGCAGCACTATTCGCAACACTTGCGTCTGAAATCGACAAAAAAACTAAACAAACATAAAAAATTAAACATACCGTATAAACGACATAAAAACGACATAAATAAATAGAAAATCAATGAATATCCCTGACTAGCGAAGCACTTTGTACTTAGAACATCGAACAGAACCAATGCTGTTGAAATAAAAAAATTCGATAATATGAACAATACCAATAACAAAAATGTCTTGAACCGGACTGAATGCTGATTTATATCTAATAAATAATTACTGGGTTTATAGGGCGTTAAAAAATAAGTACGTAGTTCAGTGGCCAAAAATTAAAAATAAATCGATTTAAGAAATTAGAAAGCCCTAAACTGGGTTTAACCACAAAAACATGATTAGGAATTGGTTAAGGAAATACATTAAGCGAAACAATATTGTGTAAAATTTTAGAATAAACTGCGCAAATATGGTTTTGAAATGGTGAAAGGAAACATATCAAGTTAATGAACATCACAGATATATTAAGCTAAAGATCATCACAGAAATCTTGAAACTAGGTTAACCCTTATACAAATGACTATTACAATTATGATTTTTAGCGCATTTTCTTATTTATGGAAAAAATGCACTATTGTGCTCGCCATGTCCGTCTGTCCGTCTGTCTGTCTGTCCGTCCGTCTGTGACTTCACGTTTTCGTCGACAAGAAAATGCGCTCTCTGTCACTCACTGCAGTGAGTACTGAGTTATATTTTTATTGTTACTATATGAATGATTCAGATAATACGAGTTTAAGTACCAGAGAGGAGGTCGCACAGCCTGTGGCAGAGGCTGAAGAGGAGGCTGAGGCATTTAGACACGAGGCGGTGGTTGAGGAAACAGCGAGACGAGAGGCTGGCGAGACTCGAGGCCACGAGACACTGCAGCTGCTCGTAGTCTCGACAGTCTCGCACGCTCGTCACGAGATCGCATTGCGAGCTCTCCAGCACGTCGGCCTGCAAGAAGGTAATCATAAATAATTACGACGTCGTAATTTCGTGGGCAAATTACTAACAACTTTTCGAGGTGAACCTTCCAAAATCTTTGGTTCCTTTAGTTTCAAATTAAATTTGATCCAAACATTGATAAACCGCGGCTTTCGCATTTACTCTACTTTCCAAGCCATTCACTCTGAATTTGAATTGTTGCGCAATATCTTTTCACAAAATGGCTTTCCATCGCACCTGGTGTTTACCCAAATTAAAAAGTTTATGTCCAAGCACTATACTGCAGTTGTTCACAAGTGCGACGATAGGAAAGTTGTTTATTGTTTTTTCCTTACTTTGGCCACGCATCTGAGACTATGTCAAATGAATTAAAAATTTTATTTGCTAAATATCTTCCGGATGTAAATCTTCATGTGTTGCTAATTAACAATTTTAGAATCGGCTCATTTTTTCAGGTTTAAGGATACCCTACCTGTTTTTATGCGATCGTCACTAGTTTACAGATTTGTTCAAGAAATTCCCAAATCAAGAAATTCATGTCGAAGCGATAGTGAGGTTGCTTCTGAGCGCGATAGTAGGAAAGTTATTTATTGTTCTTCTCCATACTTCGGCCGTGCGTCCGAAGCTATTTCAAGAGAATTAAAAGTCTTGTTCAATAGATACTTCCCAAATGTCAATCTTCATATTGTGCTGGTAAACATTTTCACAATCGGTTCTTTCTTTAGATATGTAGTTCTGAGCATAAGGGCAGAAGTTGTAGAACCGGATAGTTGCTATCGCGCCCCCACTCATTCGGCAGTGCGCGCTCACGCCGAGCAGTGTGATGTCCCTATTTCTGAGTGACTTTAGGGTGTTAAGGTGCTTGTACACGGGGATAGTGCAGACGGCTAGTTAATCTGGCTAGTGACGGTCGCTTGGTGACTATCCGGCAAGTAAGCCTGTACACGTGGAGAGTAGAAGGTGNATGTTCAGTTCAGTCTTAGACACACAAATACAATCAATTAGTAAGTAAAATCCACTGTCAGGTATTAAAACCGAAATAAGCAAATGAGACGTGAAATGAACTCTAGTAAACGGGCCCATCTATTTAATATTTCAAGAGGAAAGGAGCTAAAAGCGGCATTCACAATAGGCTTCTGTTTGAATATATGAATGTTTCTCTTATGAATATGTTCCTCTTGAAATAGTAAATAGACAGACCCGTTTAGTAACGTTCATTTTGTCTCATTTGTTTATTTCAGTTTTAAAACCCGACAGTGCCTTTTACTTTACTAATTGATTGTATTTGTGTTTCTAGGACTGAACTTCTTCTGAACTGAATTTTGTGTTATGAACTGACGATGGAGCTGGACTCCGAACGTTTTCTCTTATAAAGATATGGTGAATAAAGGCTCAGTTATGTCAACAAATACATCGTTTTCTTTAAAGGACGGCTCAGTTATGTCAACAAATAAAGGCTCAGTTATGTCAACAAATACATCGTTTTCTTTAAAGGACGGCGACATTGGTGCTGTGGCGAAGGTGGTGCATGACTGTAGTTGATAGCTGACCGGCACACTGAGCAGTCGGTCTGGGTTGGCTACAAACTAAGAAGTTCTGATTATTTAATGCTGGTGTTCTCAGCTATAAACTTTTTGGCAAATGTGAAGTGCTAATAAATACTTGTGTCTTTTCTGATTGTTTACGCTCTTTTATGCTGTGCAATACAGACGGAAATGCTCTATTATATAATTATCAATTTTGATGGCATTTTACTACGAAATCGGGCACTATTTCATTCTATGGGATTACGATTTAAACGATAGTGATCATAATACAGTATAGTATTTCAAGTGAATTCTATCATAATTTTGATCCATTGTCATAGAACAGACGCTTAACTGAATAATGACGGAAAGAATAGAAAAGGAATTGAAGAGTTAAAATTAATGAGCACAGTCGTCTGAAAATAATTCATACATTATAAGAATTCATATTAATTCTTTCAGCAGCAAGGCTTCGCCCCAGACAACAGTGAATGAAAGTTTCTGAAACCATTGAGTTAATGTGTTGCAGCTCAGACGCAGGGAATACCACGGACTTCTAGCTAAGGTATTTAGAACGATACCTATATTGTATAAGTTTTATACAACGAATATAACGAATTATTGTATATTCAAATGTTTAATTGTTTAGGTTTGGATGGGAATACCAAGGACTTCTAGCTAAGGTATTTAGAACGATACCTATATTGTATAAGATTTATACAACGAATATAACAAATTATTGTATATTAAAATGTTACATTGTTTATGTTTGGATATTTGGATACTTAAGTGGATTCAATGAACTATATATAGAAAGCATAACCAAAAAAATACAGTGCTTTTAGCCTATGCAGAAATGTCAGATACACATTGACGTGGTGTTCATGTCCAATTCATATCAGGATTGATTACTCATTTCGATTTTATGCATTTATAGGTTACGCATAAAACATAGATCTCAAGCACAACGCTTAATTGCGCGTTCTTGACATATAAAACTTGCCACGTAACTAATTTTTCTATGTAGCTCACTTGAGTCTACTTCACTGCAGCTGTGCAAACAGTGCAATTTACAAGTCAGTTGATCGATTTACCTGTCAGCTGTACAATTCACCTGTCAGCTGTACAATTTACCTGTCAGCTGTACAATTTACCTGCCAGCTGTACAATTTACCTGTAAGCTGTACAATTTACCTGTCAGCTGTACAATTCACCTGTCAGCCGTACAATTCACCTGTCAGCTGTACAATTCACCTGTCAGCTGTACAATT